CAGGGTTGTAAAAGATTTTCCAAGCATGATATTAAAGGCAAAAGCCACAAAGGGAATGACAGATATATCTGATTACATAAAAATAAAGAAACTTTTATACATCAAATCACTACAAACAGAACTGATACAATGAGAAACTGGCAAAAATATTTGCAATATATATCAAATGTTACTGTTGTTAGTTGGCATTGAGTCAGCTCCCACTCACGGTAACCCCATCCATTGTTGTTGTTGTTGTTATTGTTATGTGCCGTCAACCCCATCCATAGTGACCTGAAATGTTGCCTGGTCCTGGACCATCTTCATGATAGTTGGTGTGTTCAAGTCCATTGTTGTAGCCACTGTGTATTTTGAGTGCTTTCTAACCTACGATGAGCATCTTCTGGCACTCTATTGGCCAATATTCTGTTTTAATCTATTGAGTAATTTTTATAAGTAGATTGCCAGACCTTTCTTCCTGGTCTTAGTCTGGAAGCTCTGCTTAGTCTGTCCACCTTAGATGACCCTGTTGGTCTTTGAGACACAAGTAGCATAGCTTCTAGCATCATACCAACATGCAAGCCATCACAATATGACAGACTGAAAGATGTGTGGTGTATTAAGTATCATTAACATGTAAATAGCTCTTAAAGCTCAATGAGAAAAATGACACCAGTTAAAAAATAGGCAAGGCCCATAAAAGAAGCAATACAGCTAACCAATAAACATATTAGAAAATAGTTTAACATTTTTTTGGTTATCTGGGGCATACAAATTCAAATAATAAGTTGTATGTATGTGTTGCTTTTTAACCAAATCCTAGTTACCAAATGATAATTGGTCAAGTTTTAACAGAAAAAACATTTTCTCATTTGTTGCTGATGGGGATATAAATGGCTTTTCTGTATTCAGTAGTGCTTTTGTATTCAAATAACTTTTCTAGAGGGCATTTTAGCATTTAGATTTATGGATCAAAATCCTTAAATGTATATTCCCTTTCACCCAGAAATTCTTCTACAAATATAAACTGAGAAAATAGAAAAGGATTTGGAAATTTAGACACAATTTACATGTATAACAGGAGGGGGTTGCTTGAGTAAATTATTGCATATCCACATCATTGAATAAAATGAAGCTATTGGAAAATGAGGGTGTAGAAGCCTATTTCTTGCCATGAAGTATGTCCAGGATACCATGCTGGAGTGGTAGGCAGGATCCAGAGCAGAGTTGTCCTTGTCTGCCATGCCAAGGAACTTAAACTTTTTCTGCAGGTGCTAGCAAGCCATTGAAGGATTTAAGTGGCATTTTAAATAGATCCCTCTTGCAACAATGTGCTTGGAGGCCAGGAAACCAGAGAAGACTATTGTAGTGGTCTAGAAAGAGATGATGAGGGCCTGGAGATAAGAGCATCAGTGAATAGAGCTATATGACAGCCATTGGGCAACTCAGAGAATTAATCTTCTTTATGGTGGAGAATGGTGATGAGCATTTGTCCTTAGAAATCCCCAAATAGCTGTGTGCCATCATAGGTGGTGGAGCCAGGAGACCTGGACCCAGAGGGCTGGACCTGGGAAAATTAAAATGTAATTTTCATGTGACTCCTTTGGTTAATGATCCTCATGGATGTGGCACAAGCATGACAGAGCAGAGAGGTTCAGTGTCGTAAATCTTTAAAGTTGCTGAAGGAGGCCATGAGTTTGCTGGAAATAGAATATGATGAATTTGGAGTGCCTTTTCAAATCTGCTGGTTTGACATGTCTACAAATACCTGATTTGAAGATTTCTTGAAAAAGATACCATCTATCCTGGTGATGGAAATAAACAGGAAAGATAAAAAAGGCCAAAGTATTGGCTAGGATGACTTGACCGCATGAAAGGAGCTATTAGAAACTCCATTTAGTATCAAGCCTCAAAAGAAGTTTGATCCATGACTGAATGGATGATAATATGACAAGCCATTCTGCTAGACGGGGACTGGAGGTTTGCTCCATTTAATAGATTCCTGGCCTTCTGGCTTAGGTCTTCTGTGGATCAGAACCAGCCAAATGGATGAGTTATAGGGAAATCTACCCTCAAGAATTGACACATCTTCTCTTGGCTGTGAGTATAGGAAAGCAAGAGTTAACTGTGGGGCAATACAACTGTATTGTATTTTTGCTTCTCTGCTTAGCATGTTGGAGGTGTCTAGAAACTTAGGAAGGCTACTGGCCTATTAGAGAGATTGACTTTTCCAGGGCCATTGGGGGGCCCTGCCTATTCTCTGTGTACTGTAGCTACTGAGCGTAGCCTTTTGTGGGCCTGATGCTGGGTAACTATGTTGTTCATCCTCCACCTTGGTCCCTTTCCTAAGGTGAGTAACTTTACTGCTGGGGTCAGTGGTAAAGAATAACAGCTTTGTTTATTTCTTACTTGGACTGCTCCTGAGGGGGTGGGGTGGGGAGTAGGGGTATGTTCATGTTTGAATGATTGAAATTCCAAGTCTGCAATCCTTATCCATAATGATTAGGGGCAGATGTATTTCAGAAATCAATACTTTTTTTATTTTAGAAAGGTAATATAGTATATCTAGTGTATTTTACATTTATTCCCAGTAGAGTCTGGGGCAGCACCCCATAATCAAATACATTATTATTTTTATGGAAAATATATTCACTGTAAATGGAATAAATCAAGTTTGTTAATAGCATCATATCAGTTCAAATCAGGTTTTGCTACCAAATTGGCTTTGAAAAAAGAAAATTCCATTTTCAGAGCTTTTTGGATTTGGGGATTGCCAGTAAAGGACTGGAGACTTGTAATTGTCACTGCTTTTATGCTTTTAATCAAACTGATCCACAGGGAGAAAAGTCATGTTCTCGATGGATATTTTCCTGGGAGGGGTTCTTTGATGAGGTATTGTGCAGGTGATAGACTGATTTCTGGCCATATTCCTTTCAAGCCCTCTTCTCTCTTCCCTTCTCCTTTCTCTTCCTCTTGGCAGGAATTCAAGCAGGTGCCTTTCCTTATAGATGTTTTCCTTAAAAATATAAACTGAGATAACATATACATGACAAAGTCAACAGTCTATAATGCAGATAATATATGTTAACGAGATTTCTCAACAAGATAGTGAAACACATGCATGCTTTCTAAACAACACCATTAAGTCACTGTAATTGGTGGGAGTCTGCAAACATGAGTTCCATTAGTTTATTAAGCAGTTGACTACTAACCGAAGGGTTGGTAATTCCAACTCATCCAGAGATGCTTTAGAGGAGAGACCTGTCCGTCTGCCTCCGAAAGGTCATAGACTTGAAAGCCCTATGGAGCAGTTCTACTCTGCACACATGGGGTCTCCATGAGTCAGAATTAACTCGAGGGCAACTAACAACAGTCCTTCCCAGTGTCTTTGACCCCTGTAGTAGTTCAAACATTCATTTTTATCAGCCTGCCTGTGACTGAATCTCTGGGGGCATTTGTTGAACATACAGATTCCTGGGCCTTGGGTCCCAGACTTTTTGAATCTGATTCTGAATCAGAGAGCCCAGGAATTTGTATGTTTAACAAGTCCAGCAGGGGTTTCTTTTTGCCTCCTAACATTTGAAAACTGCTGTGTGGATGAAGGTCAAATTGCCACAGCTGCAAGTTTTTAAACTCTGTGCAGTCCGACTTAGGTCACATCAAAGTAGCACGGAATTGACTTGTCTCTTAGAAGGGTGACATTCTTCTGGTTTGGTTTGCCTTGGAAGAACAGAAGAGCAAAAATCACTCAGGCATGCTCAGAAACAAACCAATCAAAGAGAGATTTGGAGCTTTGGGTGGCAGTATTAATAGAGTTGAGAGATAAAAACAGGATGCCCAGTTAAATTTGCATTTCAGAGAAACAATGAATTTTCTTTTAGTATAATAAGTTCCATGCAATGTGTAGGACATAAATATGCTAAAATATTATCCATTATCTGAAATCCAATTTAACTGCATGTCCTATTATTTTTATTTGCTACATCTGGCAATACTGGGTATTGATAAACCCACCTTCCGCTTTGGGAAGCAGACCAGATGGCGTTTGTGTAATGTCCCATGCTCAGAATCTATTTTCATTTGCCCTGGGCTGAAAGCTTCTAAGATTGGCTACTTGTGTCATATTGAAGAGTTGAAAAATCAAGTCAAATTGATTCTTGTTACAAAGGCTGAAAGGGCCCGTCTTAAGTTCTCTAGTGCTGCTGTAACACAAATACCATAGGTGGGTGGCTTTAACAAACAAATTTATTTTCTCACAGTTTAGGAGGCTAGAAGTCTTAATTGAGGGTGCTGGTTCTGTTGTTGTTAAGTTCCATCAAGTCGGACCCAACTCATAGAGACCCCTCCTTGGGTTTCCTACTTGACAGCATATAACAACAGCAACAGCAACAACATCACTAAGGAAGTAGATTACCCAGGTTTTCTCTTTTGGCTCTGGAAGGACCACCATGTCTCTTTTGAGCTTCTGCTCCTGGGCAATCTTCACATGGCTTGGCCTCTCTCTTCCCGCATTTCTGTTCTGCTCCCTTGTTTAATCTCTTATATATCTCAAAAGAGATGATTTGCTCAAGATACACCCTGTGCTAATCTTGTCTTACTAACATAACAAAGAGAACCCATTCACAAATGGGATTTTAACCACAGGCCTAGAGGTAAACATTTATAATATATATTTTGGGGGGACATAATTCAGCCCTAAGAGGGACTATGAAAAATGTTTGAAACTTGGCTTAAGGAAAACGTGCCCATTTCCTACCCACAAAACACATTTCCATCCCCATGCTCTCTCTCTTTGTATTGTGTGTGTGTGTGTGTGTGTATACACATACATACATGTGCATATGCAAACACAAACATACACTCTGGAAAACCACCAGCTTACCTTTATAATCTTTTATATTACTTTTTTTGTGTTAAGAGTTTTCATTATTTAAAAAAATTTTTTCCTTGAATATTAAAGTAACATGGACTCACTGTGTCCAGCATTTCTCTTGATAACCATACTTCTTTTTCAATTGCAGATATTTCTCCTGGCCTGCCCTCCATGTCGAGGAGCTATCGTTGTTTTCAAGTAAGGGAAAATTATTTTTTGCTCTGTTGTCATTGCTATTCAAACTGATAATAAATGATGATGTGTACATTGCTGTGAATGCCCTGGGCTTGAGCCACTATTACTCTGGGTTTTCCCAAAGGACAAAAGTCAATGAGGACCAGTGAAATGGGGAAATATTATATTTGGAGATCTGTTTTTTTTGTTATCACATAACATACCTTTTAAGCAAATCCTCAGAAGGTTGCTGCCCTCCTAAAGTTTTGCTTGAGAATATGCTGGAAGCCAGACAACTCCTCTCCTCTCAAGAATCTTTCAATTGCGATCCTATTGTGACACTAAGGATTTGGTTCTTCACTTTGAAGGACGTTATTTTTTTGTTTTAGTTTGGAAAGTGCAAATCGAAGCGGGGATAGGAAGATACACCTTATTACAAGCCTTAACTTCCTTAAAAATGTTGTTATTGTTAGGTGCCATTGAGTCGATTCTAAGTCATCATGACCAACCACGTGTGTTACAGAGAGAACTGCCTCATAGGATTTTCAAGGCCATTATCTTTACAGAAGCAGATCACTTGGAGCTGCTGGGTGGCTTCAAATCACCAGCCTTTTGGTTAGCAGCCGAGCACTTAATCATTTGTGCCACCAGGGCGATTTTTCTTAAAAATAGCAAGCATCGAATTTGTCAAAGTATTTTGCAGGCAAATCATGTTTATCAGAAGGCAGGTTTGCTTAAATGAAATTTTCAAGAATCCCAGAACTTTCATTTTAACTGTTGAGTTGTGACCATCTCACTTATCAAAACTTTTCTTAGTGTTGTTAATGAGAAGCTAAGTTGAATGAATTAATGTCATCTCTTTTCCCCTTTCCCTGGGCCCCATTTTGGAGCTGTTCATGAGCAGTGAAATGGCGGCTAGCCAGAGGGAGAGAACAGGAAGTAAAGAGCCCAGCAGATCCTTGGATAATTGAGAGTGGTGAAAATGGCTTTCTGATTTACTTAAGTCATTAAAGTGTTAGGTAGAGGGAAAAATACCCCATTTGCTGCTTCAAATAGCCACTTAGTCTCTTGCCTTAGGTGAGTAACTTTCTGCTGGGTGAGGGGTAATGGATCCTGATTTCATCTATTTCTTACTTGGACAGCTCCTAAGGGGAAGGGGTATTTAACCTTGTTTCCCTCCCTTGATTTTCCAAAATGAGCTCAATGATTCAGTGTAATGTTTTTAAAGTAACATTTATTGATTTTATTTCATTATTATGAAAGTTACAGTTCCCATTTTAGGAAATACAGAGGCACATAAAGGAGAAAATAAACATTGCTTATAATCCAACTTGAAGAGATAATTTTGACTATTTCCTTTTTTTCATAAGCAGAGATCATACTATATATTTAGATTTCTTACTGTAGCCTTTCTGAATTTATTTATACATTTGTATACATACTTAAACGTATAAATATGATTGCTGAGTTTATTTTTTGTGATAAATATATATAACAAAACATTTGGCAATTAAACAATTTTTATATGTATAATTCAGTGACATTGATTATATTCATTATGTTGTACAATCATTACCACTGTCCTTTTCCAAATTATTCTACCACCATTAACAGAAACTGAATTTATCTTTTTTTGTTTTTTCCCCCTATTTTGTTAGTTGTTTTTTGTCTCCTTGCTCTGCCTTTTCCCACTCATCACAGCATATTATTACCAAACCAGTATGCATCTTTCCATATTTTTCTCTATGGTTATATAATCATATATCCTCCCCCCCCCAAAAAAAAAAAACCCACAGACTCAACTGCCATCCAGTTGATTCCCACTCATAGTGACTCTTCCCTGGGTTTCCGAGGCGGTATCTCTATGGAAGTAGATTGCCCAGTCTTCCTTCCAAGGAGTGGCTGGTGGGTTTGAACCACCAGCCTTTTGGTGAGCCATCAAATGCCTTAGGCACTACACTACCAGAGCTCTCAGCCATATATGTATGTGTGTGTGTGTGTGTGTGTGTATTTTTTTTTCTGGTTCACACACACTTCACACAGACATATAGATAGAATTTTGGAATCTTTTGTTCTTCACTGTTTTCTAAAAATGGAATTTTATTATACATACTTTAATATACCTTGCTCATTCAACAGTATTTCATGGAAATCTATGAAAATCAGTTGGTGTAGCTTTTATTATTTTTAAAAGCTACATGGTAGCGTAGTGCCTAAGGAACTTGACTGCTAACCAGAAAGCTGGTGGTTCAAACCCACTAGCCACTCCTCGGAAGGAAGATGGGGCAATCTATTTCTGAAGTGATACTACCTCGGAAACCCAAGGAGGGGTCTCTATGAGTCGGGTCCGACTCGACAACACATAACAACAACAACACCACG